GGACCAGAAAACAACTTATCTGCTTTCAAAACACAGTGTTAAAAAAAGCATTATATGAAAGTAGTAGATACATCTATAGTGAAAAAAAGGAAAGTGCAGGGTAGAAAGGTACAAAACATGAACTTGTTCATATCTGAAAAAATTTATCAAGTCCTAGGGATTAAGACCTGACATAACTGAAGGGATATCATTTAGCCCACTACCAATGACTTCCTAAAAATGATATCTTAATTAATTTAAATGGAGATAGAAAGTCTAAGTCAATCACAAAAGTTAAAAAATGAAGCAAACTTAATTCCTCTAAAAAGTGCCACAACAATTCACAAATGATTCTTTAAAAACTTCAAAGTAGAAATAAATTCCATACATTATTAACTATTTTGGAAAATAAAGAATAAAACCTTCTGACTCTCTACCAATCCAGCACAATAGATATAAAATATGTGATAAAATCTGCCCATGAAATAATCACACTTGTGGCTACTATTGTAATTTTCTTAAATAAATATTAACAGGTTAAAAACTGTGCCTTACATAAATAGTACATTGAGGCAAAGATTGCTTATTACAAATGAGGAATGCATTATAGAACCGCACTCTGTCATGTAAAATCTCAATCTAACAAAGCTGTGAGAAACAAAATTTTCAGATTTTAATTGGTAAGAAATGTAACCTGAACTGACAAGCTCTTTGTAGGGTTACAAAGTGCAGTATTTGTACTGTAACTGTTGATTACAGTTAGCCCCTTAAATGTGAACTTATCCTTCTTTGAGTCAATATTCGTATGTATTAGTGCGAATATCTTTATGTGAAGTTTAATTACAAAGTGCTATTCCTGACCCTTTTAGTTTTGTTACATAATTTATCAGAATGCATAATATGACCTTTCTAAAATCCACAACATTTTGAATACCACAGCAGAACTTACTCCATGTGCTTCATCTTAAGGATTATGCAGTTTATTTGATTTACTATCTCAAAAACCAAAGAAGAAAATAATATGAATCTGAAAAACCTAAGTCTAGTTCTATAGTAATAACAGTAACAGTCATTGTCTTGCTATCTATATGCCAGGCACAGTTCTATGTAGCTTCCAGACATTAGAACACCATTTCTTCATAGCACAGAAGGTATTATGAATATCATTCTTATTTCAAGATCGGAAAATGGCAGAAATGAAAATCTAAGCAAAATTTTAAAGGACAATATCCAATAAATATTAAAACCCAGTCTTCAACCTCGTTGGTATAATATACGTAGATTAGATGGATAAAACTTAAATATGTAGTCCATACAGTAAGAAATATGAATGGACAAAAGCATACGCAAAGATGGTGGTGATTGTACACCTTTTCCAAAACTCATTGAATTCCACACTTGAAAATGGTGTTTTTTTTTTCTTTTTTTGCATGTGATAATACCTCAAAAAAAAAAAAAAAAAGAAAACAAAACAAAATCACCAGGAAACTTTAATAAAATAAACAAGAAATAGACACCAAAAACTTCAGCTTTTGAAATGTGTTTGCAAATTGCAATTATTAAAAGTAAAAAGCTTGCACACAAGGAGATATTAAAATTTATCTCTCCAAAATAGGAAAGAACTGAATTATTTCAACCATGAAAACTCAGATAACATGTGAGATTTAATTTAAAATTCTCCAATTGCATTTTGGAATAACTCTTTGATATTCCTTTTTAATTGGCTAAATTTACAATATATTTTGCAATAGAATGAAATTGAGAAGGCATTTAATATGGTGAAATAACTAAAAATTAAAATAATTTATCTGAAAAATTTTATAAAGACATTTGTGAAAGATTTTTAAAATGGAATAAAAGACATAGTACTTATGGCAATATTTAAACAGATATGTTTATATTTCAGTAAAAACCTTAGTATGAATAATCTCCTTCTCTTAACAGAATTTGCTATAGGCTCAGGTATTAAGCACTTATAGTATGCTTTCTTAATTTTAAATGTATGTAATTAGCAGAAAATAATTAAGCTTTTAAAAGTAATATCCTAAAATGCAACTTCAGAGATTTAGGGAAATTTTATTTTAAAAAGTAAGCCTATTTGGGAAGAGAAAATAAAACTCTTCAGAAAAATATCAGTGAAAGAGTATTTGAGAAAGATCTGGCTTAGACGCTGATTCCTTGGTATAGATGTATTTGAATATGGATAAATATATACCAAACAAAATGATTGTTTCCTTTTTTACAGTGAAGTTTAAACTTGTTTTGCTTGAATAAAATTGGTATATTTTATTTTTACCTCTTAAATATGATTTTTAATTAGTTTACAAAAAATTATAAGTTCAGGAAAGAATAAGATCTGTTTGAGTCAATAAATATGTATTTCAAATTTATGCAATATAGCCATATTTTAGCATCGCTTTTTCTTCAAGGAAATTCTGATATGTATATAAAATATGGGAACATCCCAGCTGTACACAGAGTGTTCCAATTCCTATACAGTCTCATTAACTCCATCATCATACTTTCAAGGAGTACCAGTATCCTTTTTTAAAGATAATAAATCTCTCAGGCTTGGAAGTGGAAATTCTGTCTAGATTCATAACTCCTCCATTCTAAGAAATTGAAGAGGTGCCTATTGAATTTCTGTTCCCTAAAAACTACAGTGCATAAAGTAAAGAGGTAAAATGTATTAAAAAATGCCATTTTAGCTTTCCGTTGTTTAATCTCTCTTAGAGGGTCTAAGTATCCCTGAAAGATGGCGGCTGGATAAGTTTGCAGTTTTTGCCAGTATTCTTTCAAGCCCATTGGGCAATGCCAAAGACACAGGGCCCCTCGTGAATTTGGGCTGAATTCTAATCCAAATGAACACCTGCTGCCGTCATTGTTCCTTATCAATCCTGTAGTGGGCAGTTCGACTCTTTTTTGGTGGTGGAGCCCATTCAGCATGAGTAAAAAGCCTGCCAGTGTTTCAGGCTAGGTTTTTATCCCCTCTCCACCCCTTTCCTAAATGATCTATTGCCTGAGTCTCTTGGAGATAGAGCTAATATTCAGTTTATCGTTGGCTATTTGTTATTCTATATTTCTAGCAGTTTACACAGTTATGGTTCAGTGTATTCACTGGTTTTTTGATATCTCTTTCTTTTCTTTACTTTCCTCTCCTCTTTTCTCTCACTTTTTCTGTCCTGTTTATGGTCTTTTGGAAAGGAAGATATATATTATTGTAAAAAGATACACATGTAAAGAAAATTATACTATACAATCTATTAAAAAAATTTCCCCCAAATTAGCAGAAATAAACTTTCAAGCAGAAATAAATTCCATGATAGTCTCTCTTTGGGTAATCAATATTGATCCTTCATTGTTATTACCTGATTCATATTTCTTTGCTTTTATTCGACTGGTCTGCTGGATGTAGGCATGTAATTAGAAGGTATTCAAAATTGATTTTGCACCAGATTTGGGGTAAAGTTGAGGTGAATGCTTTTTTTAAAACTTAATGATTATGCTACGTATATACCATACATAGCCCAGTCTAGATTTTTTATGTAATTCCATACCACTATAAGACAATGTTATATCTTAAAATGTTTCTGACTTATTAGGATTTAAAAAAGAAATTCTCTGGCTAATTTTTAAAGGTATTGGGCTGTGAATGTGAACCTCTTGAAATTCATACTTCCCAGCGAACCAGGAAGTTGACTATGCATATATTATAAAATTATGTCTTACATTATCAAACCATAGAGTAATTTTTTGGTGACTTTCATTATAAAAGTTACATCTATATACATCTATTTATCTCTTTTTGTCCTTCTCATTTGTGGATTAATTCAATCACCTGAAAAATTTTAGACTATCAGATATTTGGATAGAAACATACAGTAACTCTCTCTTTTACAGAAAAAAGCAACTCTCTGCCATCTGCAGTGGGCTCCGGTCCCTCTCTTGTGCCTCACGCTTTGTTATGCGTGAGTAAGCACATTAGCTTTTTCATTTCATTCATTAGACTTCTAATCCTTGATTAGTGTTTCTAAGATTCTTTCAAATACACAACTTCTTTATTTCCTTTGTGCTTGATTTTCTTTTTCTCCTCTCTCTACTCTGAAACAAAATTAACAGTTAATCACAACAGTAGCCCTTTTCTATTGAGATAACTGATAAATATATTAGTTTCTCATTTGAGTGATGAATCATGTGTGGATGAAGAATGGAAAATATCTTCTTATTTGGAATAATAAGGTTAACCAGAGTCAGTTAGAGCAGCATGTGCTTAAAAAGCTTGGATCACAATTTCCCACCAATCTCACACAGTCAGGGTGATTTCTGTCTTCACAGAAAAACTCGGAATGCATTTTCTTAAAGTAAGAGATATTCATTAGGATTCAAATCTGATACACTTGGGGTGTCAGAGGCAATTGTCGAAAAATAAATTTTCCCCTTTATTGTTTTCTCCCATTAAACAAGGTAAGCGGGAAATATTTCAGAAAGTTGCTAGAGGTATAAATAGTTATGAATTCCACATCTGAGACACGCTGAACAAACTCTGAAGTCAAATATTGCCCTTCCCTCTGCTAGAAAGGGACACTCACATTGTATTTTTACCCATAACTGATCTCAAAGAACTAGGAGCATCTGTACTTGATCATTTCTTCCCTGGGGTCGCCCTTCTAACTCTTGTTTAACCATATTTCTAATTACTATTGAAAATTTATCCTGATGTGCACAAATATACTTTGAGCATGGGGCCAAAATCAGTTATGTAATGAAATACATTAATTAAATGCAAATAAATATTTAGATGCAAATATAACAAGTAAGCAGTCATGAAATGAATGAATAAATTAAACTTGCACAGAATTTATGCGGATTATACATTTTGGCCTAATTTCAGAACATCTTCTTGACCACAATATTGTGAAGAAAAGTTAATTTTAAAATATTATTTCTATTTGAATCTGTACTTCCACAAGATAATCAGATCTTAAACTGTCCTGTTTTTGTTTCCCATTTTCTTCCCTTAGGATGCCTCCATCGCACACAGATTTCACATCATGAGAGAAAAACACCCAGAGAAATTCAACAGTAGGTAAGGTAACAAATGATAAAGCGTTCATTGTGGTAGCTGCATTATGTCACAGGAAGATCGCTATATGGTATGAAGCATTTTGTATGTAGTGACTGACTAAGGCTCAGTGTATGTAAATATTAAGATGACAGGATAAGTCAATTGAATTTTTCTTCTTAGGTTTGAAAGTGACAATCGTGGGGAATACAATGTAGTTATCTTGATTCCATTCTGTGTGCTATGAAAGAAGTATTTTAAGTATAAGTTGAAAATAATACCTTATTGAGACATGCTGGAGGGGGTTGCATGGCTTGGTATGTGACAGTTGTTAATCTTAAGGGGAATGTGAAGTTCTGCTTTGATAATACTGAGTACCTGGATATTGCCTCGGCAGCGTGTGAGTCCTCCAGTCTTTGGCCCGTGTGCCCCACTTGGGCCTCAATTATTACACATGCAAAGTAAGCCAGTGTACATGTTCATGCCAATGCGAACTATTTTTAGAGACATATTCCTCATGAAAAAAAAAGCCTTGACAAACAAAATTATTTTTCTTCTGATAGAAGTAGGCTATATCTTAAAACTGTAGATACTGACTTTATTGCAGTTACTCTGCGAATGAGCAAAAGCTTTGGCTCTGTATCCTCTCTGTCTCTAAAAGGAAACAGGGCTCCCTCCACTGCTTTCCCCTCCAAAAATGGGGCAGAAGTCAATCACCTTTGCATCAATTATTCTTCCTTGAACTCTACACATTTCATGAAGTTACACAATCATAATTAGCAATTCTGAATGTTTAAGTGAAATCATTTACGATATTCAAAGCCAAAGGCTCTGTGGTCTCTGTATTTGACTAAGTTGATGTTTTATATAAATATACAGACCCTTTATGGGCTAACTGCCAGGGAAAATTTTTATGTTTGTTTCAATTTTGTCCTACACGAGTGCGTTGATATAATATTCTTCCATGGAAATTTATAAGAAATAAATGCATTAATTTATAATAAGTGTATTTTCAGAATTTTAAATTTTCCTAAACTATAGACCTATAGACTTGAGTGTACTGCTTTATGCAAGAATAGTCATAGTGAATAGTTTCATGATTAGTGAGGTCTTATTTGATTTTTCACTAAATTTACCTATTAAAATGATTAGTAAAACAAATAAAAACTTATTTTTAATACATCCATTAGGTATTGCCTCAGGTTGTTCTTTACCCTACAAATTATAAATCACAACCTTGTTCCTCATAGCTCAAAAAGCTATAATTTTTGTTTTAAGGAAGATAGAAAAAATGTACAAAAGGATATTTATGTGTGCCTCTGATTATTTTCAGAAGGATTCACCAAAGTCCTGTACCTCTAGTTGTTTCTGGAGAGGGGAACAAAGTGGTCATGTGACAACTGAATTTTTCTTTTGTGATTTTTTTGTACTGTTTGAATTTCACTTCAGGTACAACATAAAATTAAATCAAATGTAATCTAATTAATAAATTGCACCTGTGAGTAAGTCTTCTATCTATAATAATGAGACATTTTCATTTTGCAAGAGTTAGTCTCAATTCATGAAATATATGAATGTAAATTGACATACCAATGAAATTAATTTCACTGTTTACTTTGTAGTACTTAATGACATAATTTAAATATCTTTGAATAGCCTGAGAATGAATATGGTTATGAATGTACCCAAAACCATATTATAAAATGAAATAGCCTGTGCTTTCCCAAATGTCATTCTATGAAGCATCCATGACTTTTTATTCATATATTTAAAAATCTTTTAAGCAAAAAAAAAAAAAAAAAAAAAGCTGTTTGGAAAATGTAGCATTTATTGTACCCCTTCAGGAGTTTAACAACATAAATGCCCATGAAGACTTTAAGATACGCATAGGGAAAACAGAAAAGTTAGCAACCTATAAGGCATTACTGTCCCACACTTATTCAGGAGTGAGAGAGACCTAAAGAGGAAGGGAGGGGAGGAGAGAATTGAAAGGTTATGTCAATATATTCAAATTTGACAGCCTATATGCAAGAAGACCAATATTATGACCTCTTCTCAGGTGCCAGAGCTAATGAACTTCTCTCTACAAAATAATTTTAATTCTTCTTAATAATAAAGACCTCTACGATTCCCATATCTATTTAATTTTTATTATCAGTAGCACTACTAATTTATGACATTCCTCCCTGGCCATTAAGTGACAGATGTCATTTCAATGTGTTTGTGTAGCTTGATGTTTTCATGAGTGTGAAAGCACATATTATTGAAACTTCTTTGTAAATCTGAGGTGGGTAAGTCTTGCTTATAAATAAGTTACAGGAATATTTTACTTGAGATAATAACATAGAAAATGCTTTCCGAAATGACAGAAAATCAAAGGGTTCTAATGTAAGTTCAAATAGTGCCAGGTATATAATACGTGCTCAATGTATTATTATTGGCCAACTGTATTAAGATGACAACCCTAAAATGCTATATATTGCCGAGTCGGTTAAGTATGTACCTTTCAATCTATGCTTTTATGGATTAAATCTTCACTTAGAGTTTCAGATATTTTAGGTAACTCCCTAAACCATATTATGGATAGGAAAATGTTCTAATAAATTTCTATAAGGAAGACATATTTTTCACAAGCAGTTTCGTACTTACAAAGGCAGATGTTCAGGTTTCCACACTGGGACGGGTTCAGCCATAGCACGCTTTCATATTTTCAGGAATTTGCAGATGGTTTTTTTTTTTTTTCAAGTACTCCTAATAAGGGTGTTTCAAATCAGATCTCTTGTCACAATAAATCATCTGCCATTAATATCACCCTCTAGCATACTCACCTTGAAATTCATTTATATTTTAAAGAACATGATGTTTCTAACATTATCTTAAGGAAATTAATTACCAAAATATATAGTTCTGCTCTCTATGCTTCTTATGACAGAAATTGAAAGAACTGAGAAAGGTAATGATTTTTCCGGTGCTTAAGAGTCAAAAGGTCTATCTCGTATTCCTTCCAAATTTCGACCAATGTAAGTTAACTGTTACAAGGAAGCATACTACTTCACTTTCTAAACTTTAATATATTCTTTCGTAAAACTGAAGATTTAAATAAAGACTTTCCGTCTTATATTCCAAGGCAACAATAATACTAAAAATATTCATGGTGCTGTGATTTCAAAGTATACATTGTATTACAAAGTACTGAAATTTAATATAGTCACATAAATTCACTATTGCTATTTAAAATCATATTTACATTGTTAAAATTCATATACATTATACTTCTAATGGTCTGGTTTAGATAGAGGATTTTGAGTGCTTGCTTTTAAAATTTGGGTATTAATAACAATCAATACTTTAAAGTATGAAGCCATCAATATGATTGTGGAAGTTTATAAAAATCTTAGGAAAGATGTAAGTGTTGAATTCCATGAGCAAAACTATCCAACCTTGGCAAGAATTAACATATAATATGCAAAATGGACTTAGCTATCTTGAAAGTATTGGTGGCCTTAGAAAGATTTCCTAAAATTATAATCATGTTTTCAAAACCAATTTAAATTTTCAAGGTCTGATACCTAAATCTATTTTACTGAATAAAGCTAAACCATCTAGCAAGCCCTGATGGCCGAGGATCACAATGGTACTATAAAATCCACACTGCTTCTTTAAAAGGGTCTGGTGTCCAATGTCCCGTATTCTGTTCAGAGGGATGTGGCTTCTTTCTGTACTTTTCTCTGAGACTTCAGTAGCTACATAATGTGGGAACATTATTTCATTGTGTTTTTGTCTTCTATATTTCTTACTTCTTTTATTGTTTATATACTTTTTATAAACCTAAAAAAGTAATGGATGAAAACTGATATATGCCTTGCCTATGCAGAGTCTTGAAACTGCATAACCATCTTTTCAGGTATTAGGAATACCTCTTAGCTTTCTCAGTCTTTTTATATACCTCACCTATAATAACCAAGATGCAGAATAAATAGAAATTCTACATCATAAAGCCTTGATTACCAAGTCCTGCTAATAAATAATATGTACTGACTTATAATTAGTTTTGTGCTTCTTATCAGTTTTATAGGTCAGCAATATATAATTATCAACCAGTTTATATTTACTTGGTGATGGTAGTGAACCACAGTATAAATCATTTTTTTCTCTCTTGCTTTCTATCTCACTGTCTCCTTCTCCATATATATACTGTTATTTTACAAATGTGTATAAGTTTCATAACTTGTAATATTAAGCATTATGCTAAAGATAATAGAATTATATTTTGCATAAATATTAATCTAATGAGAGATTTTATTGAAGCAAGTATTTTATTAGTCAAAATAGCTTATTAATTGTTCTTGATTTTGAAGTGACAATTCCATACCCTTTTATGTTAAATTGTGTTTGTGTGCAATCTATTCTTGGAAACTGTAATTTTTATATATTCCACACTTCATTTTATTTGGAAAGTTCTACTTTCCAAGTTCAGAATAGATACATCGAGCCTATATATTTGTTTTCAATGTCTACTCTGATCCTAAAGAGATAACAAAAAGCCCACACACGAACAAATGAGATAGAAAATTGCCATTTGTTATCTAAACGGAAAAGCTCCAATTAAAATTCTAGAATAAAATGTGGAGGTAAAAATAAAATGATGTTTCAGTAGTGACAGAAAAATACTACATTACAGCCAAATATTTGTACTTACTATTTAGAGTACCATTGAAAATTATTCCTCTGAATTCAATGAAATAAATTTTTGAAGCTTCAGAGGAACATTCATATTCTTTCTTGTATCATAATGTGTTAATATCTGCAATTTTTTCATCTTGTGTGGGATTTTTTTTTTTTTTTTCATTTTTTGGCCTGGGCTGGGTTTGAACCCACCACCTCTGGTGTATGGGGCCGGTGCCTACTCCTTTGAGCCACAGGCGCCGCCCAGGAATTTTTAATATATGTTTAATAAAAGCCAATTGACAATTATCTTCCAATGAATTTCATGACATCGTCTTGTACATATATATTGTACCTAT